CTCCCCTAGTGGTCTATCCTCCACCCCCCTCCCTTAGCGGTCTCTCCTCACCCCCTCCCCTAGTGGTCTCTCCACCGCCCCCTCCCTCCTTTAGTGGTCTCTCCCTCCCCTATGTTCTCATCTCCCACCCCCTGTGTTCTCCTTTTCTTCTCCCCCCCTGTAATCTTCTCTTCTTCTCCCCTCCCCCCCTGTAATTTTCTTTTCTTCTCCCCCCTTCCCTCCCTGTAATCTCTTCTTCTCCCCCCTGCACTTCTCTTCTCCCCTGTAATCTTCTTCTTTCGCCCCTCCCTCCCTGTAATCTTCCCTCCCTCCCTGTAATCTTTCCACCCCCTTCCTAGTAATCTTCTCCCCCTGTAATCTTCTCCACTCCCCCACTTTGTAATCTTCTCCCCTGTAATCTTTCTTCCACCTCCTCCCTGTATCTTTTCTCCCACTTCCCTCCCTGTAATCTTCTTCTTTCCACTCCCCCCTGTAATCTTCTTCTTCCACTCCCCCTGTAATCTTATTACATGGAAAAAAATCAATTAAAAGTATTGATTATTTCTTTGGTGTATCTGCCCTTACAAATCAATAATGAAACAATGCATCAGCTTCTCCTGAAGCAATTCACACCAGACACAGGTTCCAGGTTGTTGAATAACTTGAGGAAAGCTTTTATTATTCCAGGAGGGGACGGCAAGTCCCTTTTTAAAGCAGAATTACATCATAAGCATTGTCAGAGATAACATGGAATAATACATCAATAATTGGTTAGGTGTTAAGTGGTTGCTTCAATGCTCTGCCTACTGTAGGTGATGTCACCGGGGCCATGAGGGTCTCCCACGGTTTCCCGGCGCCATCTTGGTGCACGAGGTAGTTAGTCGATGTTAGGAAGGAGAAAGGGTAACAACTGCTACTGTCCCTAATATGTCCCTAGCTGCCTGCAGCTCATCTGTCTTAACAAGCATCGAACACTTCACTCCGTGGGTAACCCGCGGTGGCTAGTCCACCACATCTCCACACGTGAGACTCGCCCGCCAAGACAGACGCTTTCCCTATACTGTCCCTACAGGAAAGCAGTTGTTTGTTTGAACTGATGTGATTGAAGGGGTGTATGTGGAGTATCATCTTCGAGGTCTGTGATGTCTTGGTGTATGAAAGTACGGGTCACGTCATCTATAGTCTTGTCTACCGCTTTCTGTAGGTACTTCTGTATGCAGGGGAATATGCAACAGGTCAAAAATAAGAAAATGACGATCATTATGAGAACAGCTGTCCCCACCTGGAAGAGGGTCCTTTGCCAACCATTCATCCATCCAAACCATCTGTCCCAAGTGTCAGTGACTCCTGAATTTTTCTTTAGCTCGTCTGCAAGACTATCTAGCTTTTCTATGGCCATAGTCACCTTACCATTGGGTCCAGTGTTGTCTGGAATGTATGTGCAGCATGTCATGGTCTCAGGGAGGATTTTACATACACCCCCTTTCTCAGCTAATATCATATCTAGGGCCATTCTGTTCTGGAATGTCATCTGGGTAGTGGCTTGTAACTGCTCTGCCAGGCCCTGTAGGGCATCCCTAGTGTAGTTGACAAAACGCTGTTGGTTATAGTAAATGTAGTTAATCCAATTGACATTTTTGTTAGCAGTTATCATTGGAATTAGGGATTCAAATCCTGCAGCCACTTCATCTCTTGCTTTGAATTCGTTAGGCACCCCCCTTGGCACACCTATGGCATCAATATACACATGGGGGTCGAAGCTCCCTCGGATAGGGGTCTCTCGTTTGGTTCTAGAGTGTACATGTGTGAGGTTTAACGTGTTATGGTTACCATCTGGAATGATATGGATAGGCATTATGACTTTAGTTAGGGCACACTCCCCCCACCATTGCCCAGTTAATTGGGACCTCAATTGTTTATCACCACATAACCAATAGATATCACCGATTGTCTTTGTGTGATTCATTAGCAGTGATACGGGTGGATTATGGTAAGTTGAGCAGTATCCTGATGGGAATTTGCCCAGATACAAACCGGTGTTCTTAGATATTGTGTAACATGTGTAATTACCAGTGGCGGATCCAGAGCCTGATCTCGGGAGGGGCACTTGTAGATTATTTAAAGAAATAATCCAGACACAATAACTACTACAGCTCAGTGTAGTGGTTATGGTGTCAATAGTGCCGGGACCCCCTCCCAGAGTAAGTAGTCAAACCGCTTAAGAACAGTTTGACAACTTACCTGAGGTCTGCTGGGAAATGGGGCGGTAGTAGGGCATAGGAGCAGTGGTGTGTGTGTGGTGCAATGTGTAAGGGGTGCAGTGTGTGTGTGTGTGTGAGGGGGACAGTGTGTGAGCAGTGTGTGTGTGTGTGTGAAGGTTGTAGTGTGTGAGTAGGCGGGGCAGTGTATGTCAGGGATGCAGTGTATGTGTGGGACAGCATGTGTGTGTAACAGTTGCAGTGTGTGTGTGAATGTGGGCAATGTGTGTGTATGGGGCGGCAGTGTATGGGGGCAGTGTGTGTGTATGAGGGCAGTATGTGTGCATGGGGGGGCAGTATGTGTGCATGGAGGGCAGTATGTGTGTATGGGGGGCAGTGCTGCATGGGGGGGGCAGCATGTGTATGGGGGGGGCAGTGCATGTGTGTGTAAAGCAGGTGGTGTGTGCATGGGGGTGCAGTGTGTGTGTGTATGGGGGGGCAGTATGTGTGTATGGGGGTAAGGGCATGGGGGGTAGTATGTGTGCATGGGGGGCAGCATGGGGGGGGCAGCATGTGTGTATGAGGGCAGCATGTGTGCATGGGGGGGGCAGATGCATAAGGTATGTGTATGGGGGTTAGCATGTGTGCAGTTTGGGGGGCAGCATGCAAGGGGGCAGTATGTGTATGGGGGGGCAGCATGTGTGTATGGGGGGGCAGCATGGGGGCAGTATGTGTGTATGGGGGGGCAGCATGTGTGTATGGGGGGGCAGCATGGGGGGGCAGCATGTGTGTGTACATGGGGGGGGAGGCATGTGTGTGTATGAAGCAGCATGTGTGTATGGAAGGTGCATGGGAGGGTAGTATGTGTATTGGGGGCAGCATGTGTGTGGCTGGGGCAGTATGGGCATGGGGCAGTAGTGTGTATGGGGGGTTGCATGTGGCATGGGGGGTAGGTGGCTGCATGGGGGGCAGGTGTGCATGGGGGGGCAGTGTGTGTATGGGGTGGCAGTGGCTGGGGGTAGTATGTGTGCATGGGGTTGCATGGGAGGGTAGTATGTGTGGCTGGGGGCATGGGGGGTAGTATGTGTATGGGGGGGCAGTATGTGTGTATGGGGGGGCAGTATGGGGGCTATGTGTGTGTGTTAAGGGTGGGGGGGGGGCCTTTTTTTTTAATAATATGTATCTTTATTTATTTAATTAAAAAAAACAAATATTCTATGTCCCCCCTCCCTTCTTACCTTTATTGAGGAGGAGGGGGGACATATTTTCATCCCTGGTGGTCCCAGTGGTGATTCCCTGGTGGTCCCAGTGGTGATTCCCTGGTGGTCCCAGTGGTTACAGTGAACTCTAGCCCGCGCTCCCGGGCTAGAGTTCACTCTCGCGAGATTTGGAGCGTTGCTGTGGTAACCGCGGCAACGCTCCAAATCTCGCGAGAGGAGGACCCGGAGGCGCTGCAGACTGAGCTCCCGGGTCCTCCCTCTCCCTCCCCTGCCGGCCGCCAGCACAGTGCCTGCGGACCGGGGAGGGAGATCTCTGATCTCCCCTCCGGTCCACAGGCACATTGCAGGGCTAGCGCCTGCATGTGCTGGCAGGGGAGGGAGACCGGCGGATTTCTCGGGGGGGGCAATTGCCCCGTTGCCCCCCCCCTGGATCCGCCAGTGGTAATTACCTGGGTAGATGGTGACTCCATCAGGTGGTTTTACATGTCCATGAGTGATCGGGTAAATTCTCTTCCACGATTCACATGTTGAGGAGTTGGTGATGGACTGTGTGTAAAGACTCAGAACACATGATTCTACTTCAGGAGGTAAATTCAGAGGAACTGTGCCCAGATGGGGCCTGGCTCCTCCACACACGTAACAATTGGTCTTATTGTGTGAGATGGCATTATACCTCATCCATTCTAGCCACAAATTAGTGTCTGAAAAACCAGTCTCCACTGCCATAGTGTCTTCAAAGGTGGGGTTGGCTATAGCTACCATGTCATGTAGGGTCTTAATATGTGGTTTTAGTGGGTTAATGATCATGTGAGTGGTCCCTACCCAGTCTGGGGAGGTGAGCATGTCTTGTAGGTAAAATGTCCCCAGCGCATTATGTGAGCCACCTCCCTTCCAGTACATCCCCATCACATATTCCCCCGCGTCCCTTGGACTAGGGTGTTCTATATTCAGGGTAAGTTTAATGGGAGTTGACCCTGTGGGTTTACTCAGAGTCATTCTAGAAAGTAGGGGCTTCCCGTCTTTGTCAAGTCTGTCCAGTGCAACTTGAGGTCTGTAGCCCCATGGTCTACCTGTATTCCACCCGGCAGCTTTCCATGAACTACAATGGTGTCCCCAAGCTCCTCCAGTCACACAAATGTATGGGTCCTTTTTGTTAGGTATGTCTTTGTATATGGCTGCATGTTGTGTCTGTGGGAATGTACAGGTAACTATGTCACAGTAATCAAAGGTGTATGTAGCTACATCAGTATTAGAAGAATTGTACCAGAAAGTGTAAACATGATTATCTTTGGTTATGGCCACTTGTTGGGCCCAGGCAAAATGCAACAATATAAGAAAACACAAGACACATAATAAATTCATGTTTCAACAGGATCAGCTTCTTCTGGAGCAGGCACTTTTTTGCAATGTGAAGCGTGTATCCAGGAACTTTTTCCAGCTAGTTTAACTGACGTTGCTGTAATCAGGAGCACTTGATAAGGACCATCAAATCTCGGTTCTAGGGTGTGTTTCCTGAGGAATTTCTTAACCATAACCCAATCACCCGGAAGCAGCTTGTGTGTACCTGTATTCGACTCAGGATCTGGAATAGAAGAAAACACTTGGGCATGTATCTTGGTCAAGGCATGTGAAAGGGCAGTCACATAGTCTACCATAGCGTCTGACTGAATCTGAAGCTGTTGGAGAAAGTAGCAACCTAACCTGGGTGCTGTACCAAACAAAATCTCATAAGGTGACAAACTGTATTTTCCTCTGGGAGTGTACCTTACACTGAATAACGCTAGTGGGAGACTCTCGGGCCAGGGCATGTCAGTTTCTTGTGACATTTTAAGCATTCTGGCTTTCAGAGTGCCATTCATGCGCTCTACCTTACCACTACTCTGCGGGTGATATGGTGTGTGGAATGCAAGGGTCACCCCCAGTGCTGACCAGACTTCCCGTGTTAGCGAGGCAGTGAAGGAGGTTCCTTGGTCACTCTCAATTACTTCTGGAACCCCGTAGCGGCAAACAATTTCTGTCAAGAGGTACTTGGCTGTAGTCCTCGCGGTGAGATTAGTCACTGGGAAGGCCTCTGGCCATCCTGAAAACATGTCCACTATGACCAATGCATATTCATAACGTCCGCTCTTTGGCATCTGAATGTGGTCAATCTGAATCCTCTGGAAGGGGTATTGTGGCTTGGCTAGATGATTAGGTGCAGTCTTTATGATTTTTCCAGGATTACATTTAGCACATATATTACAAGACTTGCAGTAATTCTGTGTTAAGGTAGTGATGCCTGGTGCTTCAAAATACTTGTCAATCAGTGAGTTCATCAAGAACTTTGACAGGTGGGCTGGCCCATGGGCCCATTGGACCACCGCTGGGTACATGCTTCTAGGTAGGCAGAACTTGAGATTAATGGTGTAAACTTCATCACGGAGTATTGCTCCTTTGTTTTTCCAACTTTGTTTCTCCTGAGGAGTGGCAGCAGCTTGTTGTTCCTTCAGCAGCCTGAGATCTGTAGGCAATGTCTGCATAGTGTAAATGGGTAATGTATCTGTGGCCACTCTTCTGTCCACTTCCCATCCTTGTCGTGCTGCCTCTTTGGCTGCCTGATCAGCTAAATTGTTACCACGTGCTTCTTCTGTGTCCAATCTTCCGTGAGCTTTTACTTTCAATACTGCCACTTCTGCTGGGAGTTCCAATGCGTCCATCAGCTCTGCAATGGCTGCCCCATGTTTTACTGGGGTACCGGTGGCTGTAAGAAATCCTCTGGTCTTCCAAATTAAGCCAAAATCGTGTGCCACTCCCAGGGCATATCTTGAGTCCGTATAAATGTTGACACGTAGACATTCGGACAGTTTGCAGGCCACAGTCAAGGCTGTTAACTCGGCCTCTTGGGCAGACTTAGTTGGTTGTAGGGCAGCTGCTTGTAATATTTGACATCCTGTGGTGACTGCATACCCAGTGTGGTATTGTCCTTGTTCATCAGCAAACCTTGAGCCATCCACAAATAGTGTTTGATCCGGGTTGAGTAATGCAGCTTCATAAACAGTTGGTAGGTGTGTAGTTTCCATTTTCATTTGTTCAAAACAGTCATGGGGAATATCAATGAGGTTGCAGTCTACGGTGGGTGGGTCCTCACAGGCCTCTGTATGGTACCTGGAGTATCCTGTTGTGCAGTAGTTAATGGTCTTTTTATTTATTCCCGTAGAAGTCAGTTGTTCTTGAGTCATTTGGTTCCAAGTTTTGGCCATCGGGCCTAGATTCTCCCATGAGGTGTCGTGGGATCTGGTGAGAGATATGTGTGGGATAGCTGTTTCCCAATGGTGGTAGAGGTGTGCTACATTATCTGGAAGGTGAACCAAAATGAGCATGGTACCTGTGGAGTCCCAAAATAAGTCAGTCAGGGTAATTTGAATTTCTTTGAGCTGAAATAGTTCTTCCTCATAGTCCACATCAGGGCTTGGTACGTCCCTAAACCACAAGACACAGTGGAGTAAGGCCTCTGATTGTTCATCAGGGGGAGGTGTGAATACAGGCAACTGTAAATCTGCTCGAACCTCTGGGTTGATATCCAGGCTGTACCAGTGATGCACAATTCCCCCCTTGGGAAGTGGCAGAAGAGTGGCTGGGTTCAGGGAAAGGCATC